AAAAGAACTTGCTTGCTTGATACCAAGAAAAAAAACCTACAAATAGTTAATTCGTTTTTTCGTAAAAACAAATAATCATACTGAATCTTACAACATTTCCGAATACCAGATAATATTGTATTCCCTCGTTTGTATTGGATTTCGAAAAACAAGAATTACCTTTCTTCAAAGATATCATCCTAATCTCTTATTACCAATCTTGGTAACAAATGATAATAGAACGAAAGCGTTCCTTCAGTTTGGTAACCATCGTAGCAACCCGCTTCGAATTTGTTTTCTTTGTAAAGCATTTTGACATTATTTATGATGTAAATATAAGGATTGACCTGCATTTTGACGGCATATACGGTAGTATGAACGCAATTGGCAACGAACATATTCTTTATGGATAGCTAACACCGTCAACATGGCAGGTCAATCCTGAAATATAGTAATAATATCAAGTTCTTGTGGGTTTTTTCCAACTTTACGGAGAACAAAGGCACTAAAAGGCATTATAATAAAATAAAATTCAACTTTATCAAAAGTAGACAAGCTTTTACAATCAACTGGTAGTCTGTAGAGGTTTTCTCTGACTGGTCTCCCACTTACTCCAGCCTATACCGTTAATAATGTACCATCACTCAAACGGTGGCCACAGTTTCTAATGACGTTGTTTTACTACATGACCCCAAAATGTTATACAACTTTAAATATACAGTCAGACGAATATCCCAGACAAAGTTCAGTCGCAAAAGGCTGTTTCCTGGGAACCCATTTGTTTTTTGGTAAATGTATATCTATTATTAAAGATAGGGTTGTAATTACATATGTTTAATACATGTTTGCGAGTCGCCATCAGCGTCCTTATAAATAAATAATATTACATTTCTAATACAATTTTTATAACAACGTTTGCATTCAACATTTAGAATGGAAATGTTACAAAACAAGTGTGACAATTTTGGTTAACTGCCCTATACTAGTACATTATGTAAACTAAATTCTGGAAAAAGAATCGTTATGTCAACGCTGAATATAATTTGTTAATCAAATGTTGGTTTCAGGAATATTGACGACAGCTAAGCATTAAAGATAAATAATACGACAGTTCTAAAGTAGTTATTGTTGGGTTCATTATATCGCCTGGTATTCACACCCTAATCACAAAGCATTGTCAGAATATTAATAGTGTAACAGCTGCTGGAGCTATGGTCGATGTCTTCTATCCTCGATGTAGAAAGCTTTTAAAATATTTCACAATTGATATAATGTATATCATTGTCAACGCCAGGTGAGGGCGGCTTTATAGGCATTAAGGCTGTTGCCTTATTCCTTTTGAATTTGAATACAACTTAAAAATATTATGTTCTTTGACCATATAACGTCATATAGCAATGGAGACACATATAATCCCGGTTCTGTGTATCATGGTCAAATACAATGATGTCGACTTTCCGATCGTGATCTTTTCCTTTCTTGATATTAACATCCCTGTTTCCCTACCTACGATAATTACATGTCGCAGATAATTTTGTATTCCAGACCTTGCTTCGAAAAACTACTTTTGTGATAGATATCGACAGCTGACGAACAAAAGGACAACACAAGGTTTCCAAAGATGTAGGTTAATGAAGACAATGGACATGATCAATGGTGGTCAACATGATCCCATTTGGAAATCTGCTTTTTCTTTGTATGATTGTCTGTTTTTTTATTTTTTTATCATGCTCATAAGTGTTCCCTGTGATTTAGTTGTCACTACCCGAGTTATCGATGTGATGGCATGACATAACCTGGATTCGACTAAGATTTACATTGCTGGTGTCGGCAATGAAGCAAACGACGCTTACCCATCCGGAACACTTGTTCTTATCTGGTCTCAATATAATTCTTTCGTCTGTTGTTATTGTTTTGTTGTTGATTTTGAGTTCGAATTATTGCTTTGTTAACACTTCAGTGCTCTGTTGTCGTTTTATAACAATTAACGTAGGAATTGTTTATTTTTCTCCCATCTTTCCTTTACAATTTTTTGAAAACATTATTTCAATAATTGTAATTTGTTCTTATCTTATTTAAACATGACGTTATCCTGATGTTTGATTGTGCCCGTGACGTCATATTATTGTTATTCACGGTTAAGCTGTCATATCATATTGGTGACTGAATAACCGTGAACAGGTAAAACGGGAGATAACTCTGTGAATGCAGAGAGAATGGAGTTAAAGTTAATTGACGCCTGAGTAGTCTGGGTATCCAGACTTTCAATGTTTTTGACACTGAATGTGTCCTATCCGTAAATGCAATGAATCCTTAGAGCGTCCAGTTCGTCAACGTATTATTAATACTATCTCTGAGTTCACACTTACTCACATAAAACTCCCAGTATCTTCCTATCAGACAAAATGTATAACTGTTTTCGATAACTGAAGTCACATTGACATAAACAGAAAACTGCTGATGTCTCAAATAAGACGATGTTTATATTGCTATTTCTACTTTGAAATCACATTGACACATACACACACACAAACGTCTTGTAATCGCTTGTAGGACAGTTTATTAAGTAACACCATTAATGAAAACAGATTTTACACACTCGAAAATATAAATCTCCTGGTATCTCTAGTTTTCTAAAGTGTCTATAGTCAATCAATTACTGCATTCGAATCAGAAGAAGTTTTCATCAATGAAGACATAATAAAACAGTCGAACAAATTTCTTTGTATCTCCAAAACAAAGTTGATAACACTATTCATCATAGCGGTCACATTGACACAGATAACACTTTTCATCACAGCGGTCACGTTGACACAGATAACACTTTTCATCACAGTGGTCACGTTGACACACACACACACACACACACACACACACACACACATACTCTTGGCATCTCCAAAACAAAGTTGATAAAACTATTTATAACTGCAGTCACGTTGACACACAAAAAATCTAGTATCTCCAACCAGAAAAAAAAGTATGCATAAAGTTTTACCTTTACAACAACACAACAAAACGCTTACCATCTCCAGTTAGTCAAAGTTCGTCAACGTATTATTAATACTATCTCTGAGTTCACACTTACTCACATAAAACTCCCAGTATCTTCCTATCAGACAAAATGTGTAACTGTTTTCGATAACTGAAGTCACATTGACATAAACAGAAAACTGCTGATGTCTCAAATAAGACGATGTTTATATTGCTATTTCTACTTTGAAATCACATTGACACATACACACACACAAACGTCTTGTAATCGCTTGTAGGACAGTTTATTAAGTAACACCATTAATGAAAACAGATTTTACACACTCGAAAATATAAATCTCCTGGTATCTCTAGTTTTCTAAAGTGTCTATAGTCAATCAATTACTGCATTCGAATCAGAAGAAGTTTTCATCAATGAAGACATAATAAAACAGTCGAACAAATTTCTTTGTATCTCCAAAACAAAGTTGATAACACTATTCATCATAGCGGTCACATTGACACAGATAACACTTTTCATCACAGCGGTCACGTTGACACAGATAACACTTTTCATCACAGTGGTCACGTTGACACACACACACACACACACACACACACACACACACATACTCTTGGCATCTCCAAAACAAAGTTGATAAAACTATTTATAACTGCAGTCACGTTGACACACAAAAAATCTAGTATCTCCAACCAGAAAAAAAAGTATGCATAAAGTTTTACCTTTACAACAACACAACAAAACGCTTACCATCTCCAGTTAGTCAAAGTTCGTCAACGTATTATTAATACTATCTCTGAGTTCACACTTACTCACATAAAACTCCCAGTATCTTCCTATCAGACAAAATGTATAACTGTTTTCGATAACTGAAGTCACATTGACATAAACAGAAAACTGCTGATGTCTCAAATAAGACGATGTTTATATTGCTATTTCTACTTTGAAATCACATTGACACATACACACACACAAACGTCTTGTAATCGCTTGTAGGACAGTTTATTAAGTAACACCATTAATGAAAACAGATTTTACACACTCGAAAATATAAATCTCCTGGTATCTCTAGTTTTCTAAAGTGTCTATAGTCAATCAATTACTGCATTCGAATCAGAAGAAGTTTTCATCAATGAAGACATAATAAAACAGTCGAACAAATTTCTTTGTATCTCCAAAACAAAGTTGATAACACTATTCATCATAGCGGTCACATTGACACAGATAACACTTTTCATCACAGCGGTCACGTTGACACAGATAACACTTTTCATCACAGTGGTCACGTTGACACACACACACACACACACACACACACACACACACATACTCTTGGCATCTCCAAAACAAAGTTGATAAAACTATTTATAACTGCAGTCACGTTGACACACAAAAAATCTAGTATCTCCAACCAGAAAAAAAAGTATGCATAAAGTTTTACCTTTACAACAACACAACAAAACGCTTACCATCTCCAGTTAGTCAAAGCTCATGCAGTTATCAAATCTGAATTTATAGTGGCAATAACGGGAACTCCTGGTATATTCAGTTAGTTCGGACACCGTGATCACAGGAATGTATGCAGGTCTATCACGGTTTGTATATATGTTCAGTTAAGCTTCCGACACTGAAGCCATTGATAAATTCGGTGTACCAAGGACGTCAGCACAAAACCTACTAGAACTGTAAAGCGCTTTAGAGTGGCTTATGTTAGCTAGATGGGCGCTATATCAACTTTTTTTAATATATATATATTTCCTCCTGATCATGTTTGGCCTTAACTACATGTATCATTTTCTGAATTTAGTATCTTCCAAGAAATTATTTTGATAGAAAACATTATCCTAAGTTCATCTCTTCAACGAGTTCACACAACTATAATATTACTGTGGGCACTACTGCGTTTCTAGAGCTGAGGGATCACGTAACCTACTGAAAGTTGGTTACGGAAGTAAACGCTTCAAGTTCCCTTTCCTCCTCGCCCTAATGCCCTGGAACAACTAGACAACAGCACATGCTTACACTGACGACTGGTACGGAAACGAGCCACTCAAACTTCGGGGAAACAAGGAAACAGATTGTAGAAGGCAGAGAGGCCGATTTTATGTTTCATGTCAGATTCTACCATCCCAACAAACACAAGGACAGAGCTTATTCACGAATACAGACAACCTGACGATGATACTCCAACAAAAATGACAACATTGGACATCAGTAGACCACTTCCGGTCAAGAATGGACGTTAAATGTAAGTATACCGTATATCTTTATACACAGGTGAGAATCAATTAGGCCGTATACACGCTGTCAAATGATGCAACATACCTAGATCGGGATGTGTAGTATACCAGGATATGATGTAGAGTAAGGGAGGACGAATGGGCTGATGGTAATGAAAAGCTGTTCTCTTAGTTTCAACACATTCCCCAACAAAAGACAGGTATTCTTTTAAGACAATACAACACACTTTCTTATATTACTTTTGCTTTATTAAGCTTCACACGGAATTAGATTGCAGTCGAGGTCTGTGGCCCATGAGAAGCCTTTAATGGCTTATATTTACCGTTTTTTGTTGAAGTATCTGTAGTACTGTGATAGTGTTTCCTTATAATCTTGAAGGGAATAAATTGGAATTAATTAGAATGAGATATTCCAGTAACTGTGCTAAATGGTACTAAACTATTCCTTTATTATCTCATTTTGAAATCAAACTTAGGTAGCAGAGTACAGTAAAAATGGATTGATCCTAAAAATAAAGGGCATGTCTCGGATAAACATGGATAGCAGATATATATATATATTTATAAACTACATTTTGAATACGGTTTTTTAAGAAGAATGATTTTTTTTCAAAAAGTGATTTCATCAGATTTGGGACTTGTGAAAACCATGGTTACCACATCAAAAACGCCAAACAATGCAAAAAAAAACCATGATTTTTAACCCAAAATTTGACCCACGCAAGTTTTATGTTTTTCTTAAAACCTGTCTTAAATTAAATATCACCTACTCGGTAACAGAAATACTCAGGTTTTAGCATAGGTCGTTCAACTGGATTTTTCACAATATTTACACATTTGCGGAATACAAAAATAGAATACATGAAAAGCCAGCTTTTGTTGTGTAGACACAGATTTGTAAATTGCCAAAAGTGTAGTCTCAAACCAAACTCCATTTTTTTAAAATCTGAAACCCACATAGTCCACTTCATCCTGTATATACCAATTTAAGTGCTGAGTTTTGATACTAATATTACAGGGGTTATTCATTGTACGAAAATATCACCCATGGCCACCGTACTTTACTGGACACTGTAACCTTATACATCAGTTTCATTTTCCTATCATTGAATCAAAACCTTTTAAGTGTCTGGTAAATAACACAATGAACAAAACGATGTATCCGTTTCCTTTCTCACTTTAATAGTGACCGAGTAATATCAATTCTCTTGACAGGCGCATTTTTAATAATTTTGCTCTCAAACTACCAACAAAGGGAGTAATCTGAAAAATGAAAACTTGTATAGGTTTGTAGTTTATATGAATAAAATATTACCGATGGCCACCGATACACTGCTCCCTTAGCACTTAAATTGTCTTCAACATTCGTGTATTCGTTTAAAAACAACTAAGAATAAAAAATATTAAATGAGGTTACAAACAGATCTGTACACTCTGCTAACAGAACTATATAGCTTTATAGACCTATAATAGCCTATAATAGCCTATCCAGAATAGGAATTTTGAGCTATTTTCATGTTGTTGTTTTTTTTAAAAGGAACCGATGCAAGTTTAAAGAAGACGTTTATTATTGTTTTAATTACAAAAGACACCAACTGAAAGTATTTGTCGGAAAATTTACATTCATGAAAACTAAAAATATACATCTATGTGTATGCTTTTCGTAGTCAATATTACAAAGTTAACTTGCTTTATTATCATGAAAGATAAAATCACAGAAAATGTACTTCAACACGGCTATAAATTATAGGTGGATATAGCTTTATAGGTCGTGTGATACTGATATGTTTAGCACATATTAAGCACTGATGATTTTTTTCTAAAAGAAATGTAAAATGTATATATATCTATTTGATGGGTGTGATGAGGGTGTTAATGGGTATATGAAATGATACCGGGTGTGATGAGGATGTTGAGGGTATATTAAATGATTCCGGGTGTGATGAGGGTGTAAAGGGGTTATGTTAAATGATACCGGGTATGATGAGGGTGTTGTGGGTATATTAAATGATACCGGGTGTGATGAGGATGTTGGGGGTATATTAAATTATACCGGGTGTGATGAGGATGTTTGTGGTATATTAAATGATACCAGGTGTTAAGGGGGTTATATTAAATGATACCGGGTTTGATGAGGGTGTTTGGGGGATATTAAATGATACCGGGTGTTAAGGGGGTTATGTTAAATGATACCGGGTGTTAAGGGGGTTATGTTAAATGATACTGGGTGTGATGAGGGTGTTTGGGGGAAATTAAATGATTGCAGGTGTGGTGATGAGTAATACAGGCGTCATGGTTTGTTAATGGGTCGTTGGTTTTATTAATCTGCGGTGTAGTATGGGTGTAAACAACGTAGTAATATAGATCAATAATGCATAACAAAGCCCTCAGAGCATACCCTCGTAGATTGACGTGATCCGCTAATGAGAATTTCTGTGGAATAGGAATCCAGCCTTGTACATAACCATTTTTATACAGATATGGGTCAGCTGTCGCTAGATATCGGTAAGGAATGGTGTCTACTCGCCTACCAGCTCGGCTTCCGTGACTCCCAGCTGGACCATCTCCGGGCAGCTTTTCCCTACAACACACCGCAATGTGTCGCCTCCATGCTGGTCAAATGGCACGAGACTGCCTTAAAACATCATATCAACCCACTTCCGCTGTTGATACGGTCCCTCACAGAAGTTGATCGTTATGACCTAGTACAGAAAATTAACTGTGATTTTGACGGTATGAAAGTATTTTCGTTTTATATCGATAGCAGTTTTCAAACATTCTAAACTATACCAGTGTCAATTAGATCCATATTAAACTAGGGCAAATTACAAACTAAAAGTACTGATTGACATTGAGACCATTGAAAAAAATGTTTAAGGTTTTGTTGTTAAAGGAAATATATTAAGCTGGATGTGATAGCATTAAAATAGAAACTTTACAAAGTATCAATCAATCTGTCAACAAAAATAACAACGTTTGTATGGTCTTAATCTAAATGAAGAGTTTGTTTTTCGTACAGAGCCGGATGATGGTAGCCTATTCAACAATCAAAATAAAAAGCTCTCCGACTTTAATGCCAAGGTGAAAAAGATCCGTTTTGGTCAAGCACAGGGCGACATGCAGATGTTCTTGGGTGAGTACTAATTGGACATATAACTATCATTTGATGGTATTGATGCTTATCCTGTCCGTATTGTGTAAAAAATGGATGACATAAGCAATATTTGAAATATATATTTTGTAGTGATATCCAAAGTATAGACGGTATGGAGAAGAAGTGAGAGTTTTTGAACAAATGCATTTGTCTTTATTATAGATACATGTATAACTTTATGTGCTGTTGCTTATACACGGCAGGATGTTGTGTATACCCCTCTGCGTTTTTTAAGATAGGCTGTTCTGAGATTATAGATACTGAATTAGTCAGTGACCTGAAACTTATAGTCGTAATAGACCAACATAAAACAACAATAGAAAACCGAATGTCAACAAAACCGCAATTTGAACTCAAAAACTAAAACTATGGCGAATCATGAACAAAGAAAATCAATGTATGGAAACCATTGAAAAAATACTAGGAGAATACAAGCATGGTTGTGTGCTCAGAACCACTTTCTTGTAAATCGCTTAATTCATGCAAAAGCTCAGGTAGAAATATTGAAAACGGTTTTTTGGCTTGAAGTCTTTGCACAATTCGTCTAAATCATTCGGGAAAATGTGAATGACTATAAATGTGATCACTTGAACCAGGAATTTGGCTTGAACAGTTTTGTGGATACAGGTTTACATGTTCCAGAAGGGTAAACATCTTCTACTTCATCAATGACATCGCCATGTAAATCTAGGTCAAATCGAAGTAATGCCTTGCCCTCACATTCACGACCTGGGAAGGGACACTGTGTCTCTGAAGAACACAATAACAAAATAGCATAGTTCCATTTTAAGATCACGACCGTAGACCTGTCCATAATCGTAATCAACATAAGTTACATTTTAAAGACAGAAAAGGTGTTAATATTGAGAATTTTACATACCAGCAGTCCACTTTAGGAATGCTCTGGGAAATTAACTAAAATTAATATGAAGTACAAGTAGATTAAATTCTTCAACTTGTATTTACAGATCAGAGCGAGAGATTTCTAGAGTTCCAAGTTAAAGACAAAAAGCTTTTTGTCAATACCAGGGCTGCTAGAGTGGCGTTGGAACTTCTTTCCACAAAAGGAACGCTTACTTTGATGGGAAACCCCGGTGATGGTAAGTCTACCATTGCTGTTAACTTGCTGACCCGTCTCCGGAACGAAGGAGCTACTATCATTGTGTTATCCGATCCGGCCCTCATAGAACGTATTTACGACGACGATAAACAAATAGTATATTTTGTGGACGACGCCTTCGGAACACCAACAGTGAATAGCAGACTTTTGGAAACATGGACGCGACTTCATGATAAGATTGAAAGTCTCGTCAAACTGGACAAGTGTAAACTTCTGATTACAACGAGAAAACATGTTTACATGAAATGTCAGTCACTTTTGCATAAATGCCCTTCTTATAAGGAGAATCTTATCGACCTCTCCGGAGAGGAATATTGCCTGAACATGTTCGAAAAAAACAGACTCGTTGCCAGTTACTGTCAGGACCATGGCCTTTTCCCGGCACAATTAAGCATCACTAAAGAGTGTGCTTATGTACCCGGCTTCCCTCTTCTGTGTAAGATGTTTGGCAACGACAAACAAATGCAGGAATTAGACGTTTACTTCGATCAGACGCTTTCTGTCTTGTACAATCAGTTACAAATGTTGGCCACCACCGATGGTCACGCTTTCTGTGGCTTGGTACTGGTGATGATGTTTGACGGCAGACTTCCGCGAGCAGTGTTTGACCAGTTCACGCCGTGTTGTGACCAGGACCGGACAAAAATCCAGACAATCATGAGAGTGTACGGTATTCAAGCCTGTGACGATGGAAAGGTGGAGACATGTCTCGATGAAATGATCGGTGTCTATGTAGAGGAGGTAGAAGAGGACTTCCGATTTATCCATGACGCTATCTTTGATACTGTTTGTCTTATATTTGGTATACGTTATCCAAATGAAATCATTCGGGTAGCATCGTCCGACTTCATAGAGAAAAGGATAAGAACAGAAAGTATTCCTGGCGCAAGTAACCATTGCCTTGATTACGTTATCGTATTGAAGAAATCTAAGTATCACGTATTGGCCGCCAGGTGGATCGCAGATGCGTCACGTGGTATTATCCGGGCTATGTTCGGTAATCCAAGTATCCATGACGTTGATATGCAGGCTGCTCTTGTTGATCAAGTTAGAAAGCTAGCTCCAAAAGCGTCCATGGAGCTGTTCACTAATGCAGAGGCAAAGACTTCGTCACTGAACCAGTTTAAAGAAACCGTTCTGTTCTTGGCTTGCAAGGAGGGGTTAGTCTCTCTCGTTCAAGTTCTCCTAGAGAAGCAGAAGATATTGAAAGCTGATAATGTCGAGCACGCGTCAATTCTAACAATACCTGACAGCTGTATGATTGAGGCTGTCGATAGAATACATCTGAACGTTGTCAAAACGTTATTAGATCACGGCGCCAGGGTCAACATTGCATGTGGGTCTTTGTCTTACCGGTGTCTCCAGGTCGCATGTAAGAAGGGAAGTCTCGATATGGTAAAGCTGCTGATGCTTTACGGCGCGGATGTCAATCTAGAAGACCACAATGGGAAACAGGCGGTACATTACGCAAGTGAATTTGGACGTCTAGAGATACTAAAGGAGTTACACAACAATAACGCGTCCCTGTCGGCTAAGGACAGGACCGACAGACAGGCAATTCATTACGCCGGTATAGCTGGCAGTCTAGAGTGTGTCCAGTTTCTGCAACAGGAAGGAATCCGATTGAATGTACCTGACAGAATGGATAAGAATGTTCTTCACTACGCGTCGACTGCCCACTGCCCAGCTCTCATTAGATACCTGGTGTCCAATGGGGCTAACACTAACAGTCTTGACAGCATGGGGGCTTCTCCCCTACATTTGGCTTGTAAGGCTAACTTTGCCGAGAACATTGAGATTCTTTTGAGTAATGGTTCTGATCCTAATCAAGTGGACGCTTCTATGTGCCTACCATTACACTCCGCTTGTAAATGTGGTGGACCGGAGCAAGACGGACGTGATTCTTTCCGATGTGTCCAGCTTCTCCTGAACGTAGTAAGTGATGTGAACGCTGTGGACAGTTTTGGTAAAACTGCTCTTCATTATGCATGCACCTGGGCTCGCGATCGACGGTTGGACTGTGTAACGTTACTGCTTTCCAAGGGAGCAGACCCCAGTATTATAGATGATTATGAACGCCAGCCTATATTTTACGCTTGTGAGAGCAGGAACCTGAAATGTGTACAGACATTGGTGAACCATGGCATCGACGTTAACCATCGTGGGCCGCAGGGGAAACAGCCTATACATTATGCATGTGGAAGGGGAAACATAGATGTTGTAAAAATGTTGGTGGAGAAAGGAGCATCCACCAATTCTGTGGACAGCAAGGGGAAACAACCCCTTCACTACGCCAGTCAGCATGGGAACAATGACTGTCTGCGCTATCTCCTGGAATGTGGAGTAGACGTGAACTGTGTTGACAAACAGGGTTGTCGCCCTTTACACTATGCCTGCAAGTGGTGTCGCCCTAACGCTGTCCGCCTGTTAATCAAACATGGCGCTAGTCCTGAGGAAAAGGACAACGATAATAGGATGCCTGATGACCTCGTACCGAAATGGTCACCTAGAAAAAGTCAAATGAAGCGGTTCCTCCGAGGGAATAGTCTTGATACAATCTAGATTTTAGTTTGACAAAGAACAATTTAAATGCGATAGAGACATTTTCACTACGTATACATGTAGAAAACATGTTTATTTCTGAAAAATGATAAATGATATTCAGACATATTTCCCTACGACCAGATACATGTTTTTCTTGAAAAGTTCAAAATACCGCACAAATATATTTGCCTTAAACAGTTTTAAAATGATAGTCATATTTCGTTCTGAAAAAACCCAAATATTATGCAAGCAAATTCCTCTCAAACAAGTCTTAAAACAATGTCGACATGTTTCTATGAATTTAGCCCAAATTCTATACAAACATTTGTCTCTAAAACAGTTAAAATAGTAGGCAATATCATTTTTCTCTCTAAGAGATATGTTGTATTTGTATAAAAATCACAAGTGAATTATTTTGCTCATGAAAGGAAAAATCTATTGGTACCTTCGCAGGGAATGACAACTCACACCTCTCATCACCAGTTCACGAGGGGATTTATAAAGTAGCTATATCCCATTAGGGACATGTCGTCAACTTGGTCACGCAATTCATGTAATATTGATGATGGCGCCGTGTATTGCGTTAACCTACATTTCAACAAAACAAATTACGGAAGGATTCTGGGAGAAAAATAATCTATGGTGTAGACAGAGAACTCTAAATTCTGGGGACAAGATTTTTTAAAGTTTAGAACTCGATAAAATCTCATGTTAAACCTCAGAGATGTTTTTGTTGGATATAGTTCATCTTGCGCTTGGATTCAATGCGTATTGATAAGTGGTCGTTTGAGTACCAGAAATGTGTTTTTTCCCCATATCGCAATATAAGATAGAGTTTATAAATAAGATATCAGTTAAATGAAAATGTTAAAAATAACATCAGCGTTTGACAACAAAAACATATAATAATTATGTGTTCATTGTTAAGAAGACACGAGTTAATTGACACAAATGTTTACATTTCCGGAATATATAGTTTCATTTCCGGTTGTTTGTAGGGTCGATATACCTATATTTAGTTCGGTGTCCCTTAGGTTCCTTCTACTATGGTTTTGTAAGGACATTTAGTACCAATTAATCTAGACCGTGTTTTGTTGACACTATGATATTTATAAACGTATATATTATATTGAGGAAGCGTGTGAAGGCTTTATTGTTACTGTCATACCTACAATGTCGTCTACCTGTGTGACGTGTCATTCATTGTGTTCTAGTTAACCCAGGTGCGACAGTATTCATTATTGGTATCCTTTGGTTTGGTTTGGTTTGGTTGGTTTGGTTTGGTTTAGTTTATTTGTGTGTTACCCCCTATTAACAGCTATGGTCATTTAATAATGATAACTTAGTAATGCAACTCTGGCCTGACTTTAAGTTTATTAGGATTCGAGGAATGATCTACAGGCGGACATGAGTGGTCACTATTGTGATGGACACAGGAATGAGACCAGACATTTGTTTTCTGAAAGTATGTGAATAGTGTTAAGTGAAGAGCCAGGCCAGAGGCGCAATTATATTGGTAATCATTAGAGATACATGTACATATGAATATGACTATACTTAAATAGTCTACCTCCTACTTCCAAGTACTTCTTCTAATTTAAAAAATGTGTCACTTATATTTACAGCTAGACTATTGCATTATCATGCATTGTTTTGTTATTAAATCGGGAAAGGGCATAAATAAGTTGGGATAACTTGCGCCTAATCCTTTTGTAGTAATATGCAATATAATCTGCTGAAACCAAGCTATGGTAATTTAAGGACGCGCCAGGTTTTGGCGGTGGAGGAAAGCACGGGGAAAAATCACCGAACGACGGCCAGTACCTGACGACAAAATTGTCGAGAATGATATATTTTTATAAAAAATAAAGTATATGTTGTTCCCAGTCGGGACAGAGACTTTGTTTGTGTAGTTTTATATGTTCACGTATGTCTATGTGGTAATGTTGGGGCACATTCCTCCCTACTCTTTTATTAGTTTTGTCCCCTCTACACTTCCTCCGCGTTGCACATCTAACTTTCCCTCCTTTTAACCTTAGTCTTAAATTTGTATTATTTTGTTGTCGTCAACTCAATTGCTGTGTTTCTTGATCTTCTAGTTTGACTTCTACTTTTTCAGCACTGCCTACTACTAATGTCCTGTCCTGCTGTTTTCTCTTTTCCTGAGTAACAAATGTTACTTTTCCCTCCATTACCCTTAACACTATTATACGGTAACTATCTACATTTTTTCCTGTGTTGCCCTTTACACTAGTATACGGTAACTATCTACAATTTTCTTGTGTTGCCCTTTTCACTATTCTACGGTAACTATCTACATTTTTTTCTGTGTTGCCCTTTACACTATTTTACGGTAACTATCTGCAATTTTTCCTGTGTTGCCCTTTACACTTTTATACGGTAACTATCTTCATTTTTTTCTGTGTTGGCCTTTACACTATTTTACGGTAACTATCTGCAATTTTTCCTGTGTTGCCATTTTCCCTATATACGGTAACTATCTATACTTTTTCCTGTGTTGCCGTTTACACTATTATACGGGAACTATCTACAATATTTTCCTGTGTTGCTCATTAAACTATTATACGTTAACTATCTACAATTTTCCTGTGCTGCCCATTACACTATTATACGGTTATTATCTATAATTTTCCTGTGTTGCCCTTTCCACTATTTTACGGTAACTATCTACAATTTTTTCTGTGTTGCCCTTAACACTTTTATACGGTAACTATCTCAATTTTCCTGTGTTGCCTTTTCCTGTGTTGCCCTTTCCACTATTTTACGGTAACTATCTGCAATTTTTCCTGTGTTGCCTTTTTACAATTTTCCTGTGTTGCCTTTTCCTGTGTTGCCCTTTGCACTATTATACGGTTACTATCTACAATTTTCCTGTATTGCCCTTTAGAGGAAAAAATATAGATAGTAACCGATTAAAATTGAAAAGGCAACCCAGGAAAAAATGTAGATACTTACCGTATAAAAGTGTTAAGAGCAACACAGGAAAATATTGTAGATAGTTACCGTATACTAGTGTAAAAGGCAACACAGGAAAAAATGTACATAGTTGCCGTCAAATAGTGTAAAGGGCTACACAGGAAAAATTGTAGATACTTACCGTATAAAAGTGTTAAGGGAAAAACAGGAAAATTGTGGATAGTTACAGAATAATAGTGTTAAGGGCAATACAGGAAAATTGTAGATAGTACCTGTAGAATAATGTAAAGGGCAACGCAGAAAAAAATGTAGATAGTTACCGTATCAAAGTGTAAAGGGCAACACGGGAAAATTGTTGATAGTTAATGTATGATAGTTTAATGAGCACCACAGGAAAATATTGTAGATAGTTACCGTATCAAAGTGTAAAGGGCAACGCAGGAAAAATTGTAGATGGTTACCGTATAAAAGTGTTAAGAGCAACACAGGAAAATATTGTAGATAGTTCCCGTATAATAGTGTAAAGGTAAACACAGGAAAAATTGTTGATTGTTACCGTATTATAGTGAAAAGGGCAACACGGGAAAATTGTTGATAGTTAACGTATAATAGTGTAAAGGGAAACACAGGGAAAATTGTAGATAGTAACTGTAGAATAGTGTAAAGGGAAACACAGGGAAAATTGTAGATAGTTCCAAAATAATAGTGTAATGGTCACCACAGGAAAAAATATAGATCGTTACCGTATAATAGTGAAAAGGGCCACACAGAAAAAAATGTAGACAGTTACCGTAGAATAGTGAAAAGGGCTACACAAGAAAATTGTAGATAGTTACAGAATAATAGTGTTTAGGGCAACACAGGAAAAGGCAACACAGGAAAAATGTAGATAGTTACCGTATTCTAGTGTAAAGGGCAACACGGGAAAATTGTTGATAGTTAACGTATGATAGTTTAATGAGCAACACAGGAAAATTGTGGATAGTTACAGAATAATAGTGTTAGGGGCAACGGAGGAAAATTGTAGATAGTAACCGTATAATAGTGCAAAGGGCAACACAGAAAAAAATGTAGACAGTTACCGTAGAATAGTGAAAAGGGGTACACAAGAAAATTGTAGAGAGTTACCGTAGACTAGTGTAAAGGGCAACACAGAAACAAATATAGATAGTTACCGTATACTAGTGTAAAGTGCAACACAGGAAAAAATGTACATAGTTGCCGTCAAATAGTGTAAAGGGCTACACAGGAAAAAATGTACATAGTTGCCGTCAAATAGTGTAAAGGGCTACACAGGAAAAAATGTACATAGTTGCCGTCAAATAGTGTAAAGGGCTACACAGGAAAAATTGTAAATAGTTACCGTATAAAAGTGTAAAGGGCAACATAGGAAAATTGTAGATAGTTACGATATAAAAGTAAAAAGGACAACTCAGGAAAATTGTAGATAGTTGCCGTATACTAGTGTAAAGTGCAACACAGGAAAAAATGTACATAGTTGCCGTCAAATAGTGTAAAGGGCTACACAGGAAAAATTGTAGATAGTTACGATATAAAAGTAATAAGGACAACACAGGAAAAATTGCAGATAGTTACCGTAGAATATTGAAAAGAGCAACACAAGAAAATTGTAGAGAGTTACCGTAGACTAGTGTAAAGGGCAACACAGGCAAAAATGTAGATAGTTACCGTTTACTAGTGTAAAGGGCAACATAGTTACCGTATAAAAGTGTAAAGGGCAACCCAGGAAAAAATGTAGATACTTACCGTATAAAAGTGTAAAGGGAAACACAGGGAAAATTGTAGATAGTACCTGTAGAATAATGTAAAGGGCAACGCAGGAAAAATTGTAGATAACTACCGTATAAAAGTGTAAAGGGAAACACAGGGAAAATTGTAGATAGTTACAGAATAATAGTGTTTAGGGAAACACAGGACAATTGAGATAGTTACCGTATAATCGTGTTAAGGGCAATACAGGAAAAAATATAGATAGTTACAGAATAATAGTGTTAAGGGCACCACTATTATACGGTAACTCCCTACATTTTTTCCTGTGTAGCCCTTTAC